ATTAAAACAGTTAGATTTTAAGTTACAATCGACTGTAAGAAACAACGGGGCCTATACCTTGCAACATCGTATCCATACCATAACCGTCCAAGTGCGATCGTTAACCACTGTCGCAGCAAAACCGATTTACACTCACTGAGCAGGTCGGAACATATGGAGATATAGCCACCTTGCAAGACCGCCTCTTGCCCAGCTCTGTTGCCATCCAGTATCGAGGCGATCACGAAAGCCGGAACGACTTTGTTTTCGCTGCTCACCGTAGGGTCACTCAAAAACTGCAGAAAGTATCTATGACCACCGTCTTTGATCAGATCTGTTTGGTAGCCAGAGTCGACAGCCAGTATCTTTGCCCAGATAAACGACAGCAGAGGCCGAAGTTCCTTTGCCGCGCATTGCAACAGTTTCAGCACGTAAGGAAATATACCAACAGATAGTGCTAAGTTCACAGCCCAGGCACCCAAATCCAGAAAACATCCCAAAAGTTCAAGTGCACGTACGCGATGCACTTGACTTAGCAAAACTTGCAAAACGATGGGTAACTGTTGAGGGGAGACACGACGATCGTGTCCATATTTCAACCAAACTTCGAACGCTGTTAACTGGCTGGCGAAAAATGGACTGTGCGTGTAGTCATTCGTTTCAGGCAATTCACCTCCACCTAAAAACTTGACCATTTAGATACAAACGTTGTACCACGCAAAGACAGACAGGCTACTGAAAAATATGCTGCAAAAAATGTATTGCATTACTGCATTCACCATTTACGGCTACATAAGGCATGAATGGCAAAGGCATCCAGGTTAATGATCTCTGACATGAATCCGAAACGTAAGAGCTACTGAATGCTGCTAAAAGTCCTATATTAATCATCGTTAGTGAACCACTGGCATGTTTACAAGCATGACTAATGCAAATCTCTTTCCAGAAAGCTCTATGTTTCAATCATTCTATTCAATGTCTCGGTTCTTCTTTCAGGTTGGCTAGAGCAGAAAAAGCTTTCCAGCAGTACTTCCTTAAACCGCAATAACTCTGAACGCGAAGCCTGCAAAGAATGAAGCAATGAAGCGCGGACGAACGTTAACGATGAACAATAAGAAAGAAAAACTGTGGCTGACGTGAGAGTAAAACTTACCGACTTTTGGTCCACTGACCCCGTTGGTTTCTCCACCAGCGTGGGGGGCAAGTGCATTCACATTTAACTGCGACAGACAGACATCCAGCGCGTAGTCCCACGCCTGCCAAATCGGATGTTCATGCGTGGTCGGCAGTTCGGGATTTGATACCGGAGTGCAGCTGTAGCTGCGCAGGACGCGGTCAGCCAGCAAGAAGTTCCTGAACAGACCGGCAACCAGAAGATCCTGTCGAAAGAGTTTCTGGAAAAGTTCTTTCGGTAACGTGTTCCAAGCAATCGTATCTGTAATTGCGGTGAAAATCCAGTTCAATTCACCAAGCAACGTCCTCCGGTCATTTAGCTGACCAGGAATTTTATCAACAACATTCAGTGGTAATTTGTCGGTCAGGTTATTTTGTAAGATATACCACATGATCGCGACACGGATCGGCGTCGTCAGGCAACTTGTGAACAGGTCAGCAGGCAGCTCGGGATTCATCGGTAACACTTGGTCAGCCATGCAAGCAGCGAGATGTATACAGTCCTTAAAATTAGGCAATACAATGCGAGTACTGACGTTTTCCACTGAACCACAGCCTAATGTCGATTCATCTGGCACTGGACCGATCTGCGACGACGCCCCTAAATATTTCTGTTACACTAATGATTATTTCACTATTCAGCATTCATTTGGCTCCCTCATTATGCTCACCGAATGTTCGAAAACTCTCGATCACCATTCCAGCACAGTTACAATCCCACACATAAATGCTCGGTACACCCATCCACGCCTGAAGGTCGAAAACGCTCAACGGAATGTACTGCGTATACGTCTTGTTGAAAACCCAAATTTCGCCGTTTTTCGTCGGTTTCGGAACGCCATGACCATTGTAATGAAACAGAACGCGTTCATCTTTCGCATTCTTCCTCAGCGATATGCACAACTTCTTGATGTCCTCTACCGTAGGATCAAGGCTCAGCTTGTACCTAAGCAAGTCTGGCCATAACATGATCAGAAATCATCAGCAACACAACTCAGACGAGGCAAAATTTTATTATGCTTAAATGCAAGTTATCGTTGTCTCCATGCATATTTTCCTAATCTACTTACCTGGCACGTGGCTGCCACCATTCGTATTGCTTTTGAAGTGTAAGTCCAATGACCTCAAGAGCTTTTTGTTGGCTGACCACAAGCGGATCAATCCAGCATTCCAGTCGCGCGTAAGGTAGCATCTTAAAGATGACAAAGTACAAGCAATGAAAGTAAAATTTTTACATGCATAAGGAC